ATTATATATTATATTATATTATATTATATTATATTAAAGTATATTAAAGTATATTATATTATATTATATTATATTATGTTTCATATATATATATATATTCCCAGGAAATCCCAGGATATTCATATTTGAAACGGGGTCTTCCGGTCTTCCCTCCATATTTTCCACCTCCTTGGCGAACTGACGCTCCTGCTCCAATTCCTCGGCGAAGTCAGGGAGGCCATGGGAAATTTGGAGTCAAAAAATGAGATCCTGAATCAATTAATTTGGTGGTAGTTCAGGGAATACCACTTTTTTTTGCATTTTTGAAACGCCGGGGATGGGTCAAAACAGTGGATAGCATAGCTAAGAAATCGGATGGTTTCGGCAATAAACAAATGAGGCACAACAGCATCACAACCAGAAATTGAATCCCTGGAATCTGATCTTTGCGACCCACCCCTCCCCACTTCGGAACTTTTCTAGTTATAGAAATGGTTTCATATATACTTTCTGTGCAAACGTCTCCTTTGTGAAGCTCAGCACTGTTCAGTATACCAAAAGGTGATTTTGTGCGATGCTTAAACCCAAAACGGGACATGTAAAATCTCTGCAATGGTCTTGGAACATCTTGGAACCTGTTATCATTGAAACAGGGTGCGGCGATTTGGCCACGGATTGGTGTCAACTCATGGCTCGAATATTGTGCTCCCCATGTTTGGTGCTTAAACCATCTTAAACCCCCTTTAAGTCTTTGTGACAGCACCAAACATGGACCCCAAATGGGTTGGTGTCTTCAAGGCCCAGGCCGCTGACAATACTTCTTGCATATCTTAATGACATGATATCTTGTGATATCTACTAGAGTCATCTATAAAATCTCTATATATTTATCAATGGATGTCCACCCTTGGCTGCTTTCCAAAAAACGGCTCCCAGTTTTACTGATGAAATCTTAATGTTTATCATGGTCATGTTGTATACTAATTGCCATATGCAACAAAACCACCTGGTATTTTTGTGGGGCTTCCCCGGCCTCGAGCGCCTTTCGCTTCGCGGCCTCTTCGGCGCTCGCAGCTGTCTTCGGCGAAATCCCAGGGTCTTTCCCGGTGGAACCAATGGGAAAACGATTCACCAATGGATTAACCAGCAAATGATGGATGAACTGGAAAACCCAAAATCACCATCAAATCATCCATCATTTTTAAGGGTTTAAAAAATAGATCAATAGATCAAATCACCATCGATCAAATCTAAGGGTTTAAAAAGGCCCCCTTTTTTGACACCCCCACGGGTGTTTCTTGCAGCTGCACCTCCAACTCACCACCGTCGGCGTTTTGGTTGGAGCTGCTCAGCTTGCCAAGGTCAACCTATTTGGGCAGCTGACCGCGGCTGGGAAGATACCAGCTGGATATTGTGTGTTTTAAAGAAAACAAAGAAAATGGAGACAGCTGGAAGTTGATTGAGGCCATAAGTTATAAGTACCACTTGGGATAGATACTGTGGTAAATTGTTCTAAATACATCTAGATACAATACACCCCGCCGTCACCAGCAAAACTCATCTAGTGAGGTGATAGAAGTTGTAGCAGGGCACTCCCACCTGCAGGGTTTCACATTCCTTCAGGGCCTGAGGTGCCACCATTGAAGTAAAAACCTCTGGAAATGACCAAGTGAATGTATTTTTGCTGCCCCAGTTTTCCAACCACATGGCTTTATGGTTCTTTATGGTTCTTTGACCCAAGGATGCAACACTTATATAATTTCATTCTGGCCCATGGGTCAAGATTTGGGACCAAAACCCAAGATGTTTGACCATGTTCAATACTCATCTGAAAAAAAAAACTCAATGTGTGTTGCTTCGCCACATCACCATGATGGGCTCTCCCCACCGTGACTTCGTGACTTCGTGACTTGGCCGCCGACGTCCTCTGCTTTCTGCCGTTCCAGCTCCACCTCCCCAAAGATCGGGAATCCCCATTGTATAACCCAACCAGTGTCCCACCCAGCTGGCCAAATCCCCTTCCAAGTTGGATTTCCGGCGGGTTTCTCTGAAAATGGTGTATCCTAAAATTTCATAGTTGATCATCATGTCATTATCAAAAGGACAAGTTTTGGGTATCCCCCATTTTTGGTGCTTACTAACCACCATCAGCCCGTACTAGAGCGCGGTTAAGCCTTATTGTTTGGGGGCGGTATATTTCCGGGTTCCGGGTTCTCTTTTCCATGAAACTCGGGGAATCCCCAGTGTTGCCTTACAAAAAATGTCATAAATTGGTGGTGAACCCCCACTTTTTGGACGGAGTCAGCTGGAGGCTGCCTGCAACTGCACTTTTTCCTGCAGTGCTTCCGCTCCCGCGCTGTCCTTGGACATGGCCTGCACGTTTCAACACATTCGCGGCTAAAAAAATGTGGAAATTCAACGCGCAGATTGTAGGGTGTGTGAGGGTATCTCTGCAAAATATCAAAAGATGCATTTTCAAACCCATGAGTTTTTCAAGATCGCCGTTTCCGCACTGGTTCTTGAAACCGGGAACCCATCAGTTCAGCATGTCCAGGCTGTTTTCCCACCTGCTTCTTCCAGGCTTCAGCCTCTGAGACGGCCTCAGAACTGCCAAAACACGATGGGTCGTGGGTTGAACGTCCGAAAATCAAAGAACACAGGCGAATGTATGTTTTAAAAAATACGTGTACAAGAATTTCACAACAAAAATTAACTTGATAGGTGCGTTCTTGGTAAGAACGTAAGTATGCAAGACTTGCTACTATGATAAAAAGCAAGACGAGGATGAACCAACAATCCTTGTAAAGCTGGGTTTGGCTGAAATGCATTCTGATCATTTTGATCATGCTGTGCGCTGAATAGTTGGAAACCGGTCCCGACCGCAGAACCGATGACGCACCCAGGCTTCCCGACTGGTGTGGGAACAGTTGTGCTCGGGCTCGTTCCAATAGGATCCTGGTAGTGCTGAGCCGTGCAGCAATTCATGCATCAACTCATCATAAAGTAGGTGCATCATAGATACACCATAGATGCAGAGTTGGTGTGATGACTAATTAGGCTGTCATCAGCAGTTGGCAACAAAACGTAACAAACATTAACAAAATAAGTTCGCAAGGGTAGTCTTGCTTGAACCCATGGAGATTCCACACAATATTCATATCCAAATTGTATGTATTATGATGTATATAATAATATAATATAATACAATATAATATAATATAATATAATACAATATAATAAAATATAATATAATACAATATAATAAAATATAATAAAATGAAATAATATAATATAATATAATAGAATAGAATAGAATAGAATACAATATATATATATACTAATATAATACATAATAATATAATATATATATATATATTAATACATATCGCTATTACATGTATATATATATACTAAATATATACTGTATATAATAGTACCGGAAGCGGGAACCACTGAGCTGTGCCACATGCACGAAGGCGATTGGTCATCCGCAAGAAGCAGATGCCCAAAAGCTCTTGTGGAGCTAAGGATCCGACGCTGATGGAATAAGCCAGGGAAGAACCCTCAACCTGCGAGGCAAGGCACATAGCATGAGTGTCTTTGTCATGGAAGTGGGGAAGTGTCAAGCAGCCTTGTGACACGCTGCTATGCTTTCCTCCTTTTTTATGCACTATGCACCGGCACGCGTGCCAACCATTGCGCTTTGCGCCTGGCATTGTGCTCTGCACAGGCTTTCCTACGCTTCATAGCCGTCTTCCCAGGTCGCAGCTTTGCGGCTTTCTCCCTTATACGAGGATCATCCCAAAGCACACGAGCTGCTGAAACCTCTGCTGCTATTTTGGTACGCTCCCCTTCTCCTTTGTAGTGCAATTTTTTCAGACGGGCAGCTGCTCGAGCTTTGTCAGTGAGTTGCAGCGTGGAATGGTAGAGGCCCTCCTCATCCCTCACTGTATGATAGATCCCAAAGGGAGGATCTTTAGGGTCAGAACGTTGCAACCGCCTGCAAGCGTTGGGGCTCACAGATTTCCAATAGGCTTCAGATACATGTTCAGATCTTCAATACTATGATTTGGTGATGTGACCAGTGTCTTGTGACGTCTTGCAACTAAGCCACCTGAAGAAATCGACCGTCGCCCCTTTCCAATTCCCATCATACTTGCTCACGTCAAAACCCCACAGCCGCCCACGTAGTGGAGATGGCCTGGACCTTTGAGCACCACTGGAAGACCTTGGTCAGTAGAAACATGTTCCCCGCAACCCCTGCGTCGCCCACACTCAAACAACACATCCGAACAATATGATATACTTATCACCAGAGGATAAATGAAAACACTGGCTATACGCAGTGATTTTGACTTTAGGTTTTCAGGATTTAGGGTTTTAATTTAGGATTTAGGGTTTTAGGGTTTTGGTGTTTGTTGTTTTGGAAAGTAAAAACCTTGAGCCCTGCGCAGGGATTTGAGCATGTCAAAAGATATGCGGGATTGGGCGCGGGCAAACGTAGGGGTTGCAGCGAATATGTTTCGACAGAATGCTGAAAATTCCAATAAAAAACTGAAAGGACCTAATTGTACAGTTCAAAGAGTTTTTGAAAAAAACAAAACATAGAAACGACAAGGAGAGGTGACAGAATGAGGCTAGGGAGACATGTCTCGAAGTTCTAAAATGAGAAAAGCCAAAAACAGCTGATACTGCGGTGCGAGTCAGGAACGCTTTCTGCTTGGCCCTCGGGGAGCGACTTCTCGAAAAAGACGAAGAATTCCTGGCTTTGCGACTCCTCGAAGAAGACGATGAAGCCCTGGCTTTTCGACTCCTCGAAGAAGCGGAAGAAGACCTGGCTTTCCTTGACGACGCCGAAGAAGTCCTGGCTTCTCGGCTCTGCTTCTGTGGCTCAGGGCGTTTTTCTGGCCGTGCAAGTTCTTTCTGATGGTGAGCTTGCGGTCGAGGCAACTTACGCATCTTCTTTGGAGTCATGTCAGGCGGTTTTCTCGTTCGGTCAACCGACTCAGATCTTGCTCTCGGAGAGAGGGACTGAGGAGCTGCATCTCTGGAACCCCACTTCTTGTGTCCTACTTGTCCTACTCCTACTGGTCCTACATTTGGAAGCCCATCATGGTTGCTAACCTTCAATGCAACTCTCCCCCTGGCAGCATCTCTGGAGACCATGGCTTCTCCAACCCGCAGCAGCAGTTGATGAATCGGTCACAAAATTATTAGTGCCACATGTAATTAACAAGTTGTCAAGTTGTCCTGATGCAAGATTCAACTCCATTGAATGAAATTGCAGATCTGACCTTTCTGTTTTCTATGTTCCTACTTCAAGCTGCAGCCTGGTCACAATCAGGAGCCAGCGAAAGCAGCAAAACAGAGAAGTTTTTAGAGATGGATCTTCCAATCAACTGCTAAACCTTGGCAAACGCTGGATTAATGCGTGCATATGCACCTTTGGAACAACTTTGCATAGAAATGCCGTAAATGATTGTAAAAGTAAATAGTTGGTCGTTGTGGCAAACGTGACCATTATCAAGCATCTTTCGATGGTCGAGCAAAGGTATTTCTTGCAACCGGCTGAGTTGATCAGCTTCATTGCCCTGAGCTGAAGGGAAGTTCCAAAATGTTCCAAATGTGTCTGAAACATTTCGAAAACCGCTTCAGAATGTTTGCAGCCTTACATGTGTCAAAACTTAGACTGATCACTCTATGCAGCCGCATGCAGGGCACAACTCAGGCATGACTCGGGCACAACACGCCTGAAAGTCGCGGGTCTCTGAGGTTTCTCGGGTCCACTCCCCGAGGTCGAGCTCCGACCTGGCTGTCTGGCATGTGGACACAATGTGGACAAGGAAGAAATGACATGAAGACTTTGCACTTACTCAATATCACTCAGCCAAACACAAAAAGGATGATAAATATTGAAAAACCAACTCCTCTGTGATGCTCTTTGCAACATGTACTGTGCATTGCTGTGCAGTGCGTGGAACCTGGGTGGCAAAGTGAATACAAAAGAAGAGAAATGATCCAGGCGAATTATATCGAATCTGAAATGAGGTGATTTGGGGATGATTCCCCTGCTACCCACACTGCGTGGTGACATCATGATGAGGCTGTTTTGATTCAGCCAGACTGATAGTTGAAGGCTCAAAAAACAGTGGATGGACCAAATGGAGCTCAATCAGACTAAACCAGTGTCGAAATATCACAAAAGAAACGTAAAAATGATTTTGTTTTGGAATAGTTTTGGATGTAGGACTCAACCCATGCCATCTTATGAGATTGACATTGTGCGTTTCGAGTCTCTTCCCCCGACCATCCCGACGCCACCTCTCTGGTGTCTTCACTGGGTCGTCTTCACCTCGCAGTCACTTGACATGTCAGATATCATCAAATTACATCGACTTACAACCTCTGCCACAAATTGTGTTCCGATTCGATGTGTTCCGTCAGTGCGAGTATACACGTTTACACAGCAGTGCCTGTACAATTCGACTAAGTAACTGACTAGTAGTAAGACTATTGCTATCGAAACATATCGAAATGATACATTTGTTCCTTTTGTTGTCCATGGTGTTTCACATTCCTGGTTCCTCCAACATCCTGGGCCGCCACGCTCTCATCCTCAGCACACCGCGCCACCAGTGCACAAAAAAAAAACATGGCAAAAGAAAACATGACAACAATTGACAACACACTGCGAACCAAGGGCACCACAGCCTCGCCTTTGCTGGACCTTGACATGCAAAGGATTTGCAATGGCATTTGTCCAGCAGTTTTTCAATATCAAATTCACTTCATGCATTAACTACATTTCAATGCGAAGTATTACCAAGCATGACTTGGAGCAAATTGATGATATTGTTTGGACGTTCATGATTTGGCCTTCCCAAACGGTTCACTGGATAATCAACAGCTGATATGGCGGTCACGTGGAACTTCTTCCGCATCGTTTTTCTACCAGGTTTCCGGCTCTGTCTGTTTACCCTCGCTGGGGGTGGTGGAAGCCGAAGAAGATTAATTGTTTTTCGCCTAGCATCTCCAGGTGGACTGTTTGCAATGCAAACATGGGACTCAAAATTCCAAATCCCAACCGGAAACATGCAAGAAAATTCCAAACTTATCCAAGTTGAATTCAAACATGTCCCAAACAAATCAAAACATCAAAAAGGCCTTGTAGAAACGGTTGAAATCGGTTGAAATCGGTTAATTTTTCCCCAGATAGCTGGCAAGCTATAGGGGTTCTTGCTTCTCTAAGGTGGGGTCTTCGGTGGCGAACTTTTGAGCCTGCGTCTGGCAACGCTGCTGTGCAGGGTCTGGCAACGCTGCTGTGCAGGCTGCTGTGCAGGGTGCTGTCCAGACTGCGGTGGCGAAGTCTGGCAAAGGTGCTGTGCAGGCTGCTGTGCAGGGTGCTGTCCAGACTGCGGTGGTGAAGTCTGGCAAAGGTGCTGTGCAGGCTGCTGTGCAGGGTGCTGTCCAGACTGTGGTGGCGAAGTCTGGCAAAGGTGCTGTGCAGGCTGCTGTGCAGGGTCAGTCCAGACTGCGGTGGCGAAGTCTGGCAAAGGTGCTGTGCAGGCTGCTGTGCAGGGTGCTGTCCAGACTGCGGTGGCGAAGTCTGGCAAAGGTGCTGCGCAGGCTGTGCAGGGTGCTCTCAGACTGCGACGGCGAAGTCTGGCAAAGGTGCTGTGCAGGCTGCTGTGCACGGTGCTGTCCAGACTGCGGTGGCAAAGTCTGGCAACGCTGCTGTGCTGTGCAGGGTGCTGTCCAGACTGCGGTGGCGAAGTCTGGCAAAGGTGCTGTGCAAACTGCTGTGCAGGGTGCTGTCCAGACTGCGGTGGCGAAGTCTGGCAAAGGTGCTGTGCAGGCTGTGCAGGGTGCTCTCAGACTGCGGTGGCGAAGTCTGGCAAAGGTGCCGCAGGCTGCTGTGCAGGGTGCTGTCCAGATTGCGGTGGCGAAGTCTGGCAAAGGTGCTGTGCAGGCTGCTGTGCAGGGTGCTGTCCAGACTGCGGTGGCGAAGTCTGGCAAAGGTGCTGTGCAGGCTGCGTGGCACGGTGCTGTCAAGACATGCGGTGGCAAGTTGGCAGACCGGTGGCGAATCTGGAAGGTGCTGGGCCGGCTTGCTGTGCAGGGTGATGTGCAGGGTGCTGTCCAGATATCGGGGTGGCGAAGTCTGGCAAAGGGCGGTGCAGGTGCTGTGGGCCCCCCCCAAGGTGCTGTGCAGGCTGCTGTGCAGGGTGCTGTCCAGACTGTGGTGGCGAAGTCTGGCAAAGGTGCTGTGCAGGCTGCTGTGCAGGGTGCTGTCCAGACTGCGGTGGTGAAGTCTGGCAAAGGTGCTGTGCAGGCTGCTGTGCAGGCTGCTGTGCAGGGTGCTGTCCAGACTGCGATAACGAAGTCTGGCAAAGGTGCTGTGCAAACTGCTGTGCAGGGTGCTGTCCAGACTGCGGTGGCGAAGTCTGGCAAAGGTGCTGTGCAGGCTGCTGCGCAGGGTGCTGTCCAGACTGCGGTGGCGAAGTCTGGCAAAGGTGCTGTGCAGGCTGCTGGGCAGGGTGCTGTCCAGGCTGCGGTGGCGAAGTCTGGCAAAGGTGCTGTGCAGGCTGCTGTGCAGGGTGCTGTCCAGACTGCGGTGGCGAAGTCTGGCAAAGGTGCTGTGCAGACTGCTGTGCAGGGTGCTGTCCAGACTGCGGTGGCGAAGTCTGGCAACGGTGTTGTGCAGGCTGTAGTGCAGGGTGCTGCAGGCTGCTGTGCAGGGTGCTGTCCAGACTGCGGTGGCGAAGTCTGGCAAAGGTGCTGTGCAAACTGCTGTGCAGGGTGGTGGCGAAGTCTGGCAAAGGTGCTGTGCAGGCTGCTGTGCAGGGTGCTGTCCAAGGACTGCGGTGGCGAAGTCTGGCAAAGGTGCTGTGCAGGCTGCTGTGCAGGGTGCTGTCCAGGCTGCGGTGGCAAAGTCTGCCAAAGGTGCTGTGCAGTCTGTGCAGGCTGCTGTCCAGACTGCGGTGGCGGGGTCTGGCAAAGGTGCTGTGCAGGCTGCTGTGCAGGGTGCTGTCAGACTGCGGTGGCGAAGTCTGGCAAAGGTGCTGTGCAGGGTGCTGTGCAAGGTGCTGTGCAGGGTGCTGTCCAGACTGCGGTGGCGAAGTCTGGCAAAGGTGCAGGGTGCTGTGCAGGGTGCTGGTGCTGTGCAGGGTGCTGTCCAGACCGGTGGCGAAGTCTGGCAGGTGCTGTGCAGGGTGCTCTGCAGGGTGTTGTTCTCCAGAGTCTGGCAAATGTGCTGTGCAGGGTGCTCTGAATGCTGTCCAGACTGCGGTGGCGAAGTCTGGCAAAGGTGCTGTGCAGGGTGCTGTGCAGGGTGCTGTGCAGGGTGCTGGTGCAGGGTGCTGTACAGGGTGCTGTACTAGTGCGGTGGCGAAGTCCGGCAAAGGTGCTGTGCAGAGTGTTGTTCAGACTGTAGTGGCGAAGTCTGGCAAAGGTGCTGTGCAGGGTGCCGTGCAGGGTGCTGTCCAGACTGCGGTGGCGAAGTCTGGCAAAGGTGCTGTGCAGGCTGCTGTGCAGGGTGCTGTCCAGACTGCGGTGGCGAAGTGTGGCAAAGGTGCTGTGCAGGCTGCTGTGCAGGGTGCTGTCCAGACTGGGGTGGCGAAGTCTGGCAAAGGTGCTGTTGCAGGCTGCTGTGCAGGCTGCTGTGCAGGGTGCTGTCCAGACTGCGGTGGCGAAGTCTGGCAAAGGTGCTGTGCAGGCTGCTGTGCAGGGTGCTGTCCAGACTGCGGTGGCGAAGTCTGGCAAAGGTGCTGTGCAGGCTGCTGTGCAGGGTGCTGTCCAGACTGTGGTGGCGAAGTCTGGCAAAGGTGCTGTGCAGGCTGCTGTGCAGGGTGCTGTCCAGACTGCGGTGGCGAAGTCTGGCAGTGGCGAAGTCTGGCAAAATTGGTGTGGAAGGTGCTGTGCAGGGTGTTGTCCAGATTGCGGTCGCGAAGTCTGGCAAAGGTGTTGTGCAGGGTGCTGTGCAGAATGCTGTGCAGGGTGCTGTGCAGGGTGTTGTCCAGACTGCGGTGGCGAAGTCTGGCAAAGGTGTCGTGCAGGGTGCTGTTGCAAGGTGTTGTCCAGAGTCCTGTGCAAAGTGTTCTGTGCAAGGTGCTGTGGTCCTTTGTTTTCAGCGTGCTGTGCAAAGTTTATAGTTTTAGTTTTGAATT